TATATAACAAGAGGAGACTAGTTTGAATAAGGGAACCGATTACAAGAAGAAGATATGTAACCTGTATCATATTGTACTTGTGGATCCCCATCCTAGCGTAAAGGAAAACTTCCCAGCAGCGCAAATCATCAAGATTTGTACAGTTGCTATAACAGCTCAACAAACAAGAGGATGGTCTCGAGTCCATCAAATGCTCGATGTCGAACCCCTGACACACATTATCACGGGTTAGGATTACGTTTGTGAAATAAAACAAAAGAAGATGAGAGAGAATTACACCGGCGTTTGACACTCGAATCGAGAAGTCGACCTCCTCCTCGTGGAGTTTCAACATTCGAATCAATAACTCGACCTCCCCCTGGTAATCTTCGTCTTCTCCACCCAGCAGACAAGAGGATGGTCTCAATTTCATCAACTGCTTGATGTCACACACATTATCACAGGGATTAGGTTTTTGGAACTAAAAACAAAGAAGATGAGAGAGAATTACATCGGATTTCGACACGACCTCCTCCTGGTAGCGTTTCACGTTATCTCCACCATTCATCGACATCACGAAATTTCTCAACTTCTTCTGGATTCCAATGCGTTTTAATCGATTAGGTTTCCTCATCACTACACGACGTAGTATTTAAAACCCCAAACTCATTTATGGGCCTAAATTATGCCTCCCCGGCCCAAATAGGTTTTATTTAGATTATGAAATCAAAAATCTTACGTGTCGCTCCAATAACGAGTTTAAGATTTAACTTACCGATATTACCCTTAATGATTCGCTATAATTATAAGCAATGCCATCGCTAGATTATCACCAAATTGCGCCTCTTCGTCTCTGTTAGTTAATAGGGCTTTTGTTAATTTTCGTTGCTAATAGCCCGTATCTATATCTTATATTATTAGGCCTTTAGATAATTGTGTACCCTTAATATTTCCTTGTGTATATATATAGAGAGGTGTAGTTTATTTTTGTTTGCTTCTCTATCATGCCTCTCATATCTTTTCCTATCAACACG